CCAGTGAGCGCACCGGCCATCCCTATATAGGATCCGAACCTGCGGCAGGAGCGCTGCTGCATTCCCAGAGCCGCACTCTCCCGAGTGCGCCACGGGCTCGGCCCAACATTTATTTTTAAATATGCTTTTTTCTTTAAAGATAAAATGTTTCAAGTTGATATCTGAAAATGATTTGTTTTCTGGGCTGGTATTGTCATGGAGAGAATTAACTTTAAGAACTCTAGCTGTAAACCATTCGTATTTGGCTGTTCTATAAGCTGAAACTTTATCCATTGAAGAAAAATAGAGTGGAAAAAAAATCTAGATGTTTTGTCATTCCATATGCCCTTCATCTGTTTCCTACTTAACTGTTTTAAACCTTATTATGAACTCATTTTATAGAAGTGATTACTGTAGCCTATTTCTTTTTGTCAGCTTTTCTGTAACATATAGCAGAAATTCATCATGGATTTTCTTCTGTGAAGAAGAGACAAGAATACAGATCCCAAAACTTATAGAAACACTCAGAAGATATGACCCATCTAAGGTAAATAAAACTTTAATACCAATATTTATCTTTTGGAACAATGTTTCCAAGAAGATTTAATTTTGGCTAACAGTTTTTTGAATCTAATAAAAACACTTAATTTAAAATGAAAAAGAATGACATAATCGTTGAATATCTGGAAGCTATGTTAAGTAATTCTCTTTGAAGTTAGGAGCTTACAGAGGGATGGAACATATAATAAGCAATTTTAAGTGAAAAATTTTATGTGTGAGCAATTTCAGAGTTAAAAAACTATAACCAGAGTTCAGAAACAGTTTACCCTAGAAATAAACTTAAATTGGTGATTTTCTGTTTATCAGACTATGACCACATGTTATTTATCAGACTATGACCACATATTATTTTAGATAGGAATATTTTTTGAGTACCAATTATGTATTGGGCACTATGGATGGCAGGGACTAGAACAAAACAGGTAAGTATCCTGACTGCATGGCTGGTTTAGAATAGCAAGGGGGGACAGAACATTAGAGAAGTGATTATGGCTAAAAGTAACACATCAGTGATAAGGGAAAGAGAGGGTGCTGTTAGAAGAATATAACAGGGGCGTTGAACCTAATCTGGGAAGATCAGGACAGCAAATAACATTTAATCTAAGTCCTGTAGGATGAGTAGGAGTTAGCAGGAGAGGAAGAGGGTGTAGCAGGCGGAAGGAACACCATTTGAGCAGGAATGGAGGCGAGAAGGGATGCAGCTTGCATACTAGGAACTCAGTGAAGTTCGCTACTGTTTCATATTTTCAAATCTGACTTTATTTTGTGTGGATTTGGTATAGCAACTGGATCTTGTTTACCTCCAAATCTCTAGCCCTGAGCAGAGTGTTAAAACCTTAGTAGGTGGTCATTGAATATTTGCAAATGACTGTATAACCCTCTGATATCACCTTTTCTGCTGGGCTGTGTTCAAAGGCTCAGTAGGTTTAGAGAGCTGCCTTGGAGCTATGGCAAGAGTAAATCAGGCTA